TGACAACTAACAAAACGTATGTACTGTAAAAAGTAACTACTTAAATAGTATATGTTTAAATCATTGATTTTTACTGCCTCTATAAATTCAAATATATTCTATTGAAAACATGCACGAAAAAAAAAATATTTTTGCACTCGTTTGGTAGCAAGTTGCGCCTTCTTTAAATTCTATACTTAAAGAAAACGTATCCTTCGGTTTTAAAAAAATTTCTAATTATGAGCTTCTTTACGATTGTGAGTTGTTCATTCATAATAAATTGTATCCGTCAATTTATTAATGCTGCCTATTCTGTATAAAGCATCCTCAACATTCACTGCAACATTTTATGAGAACTATGTGACTTCTTCGTCAAACTGTAGGCGAAAACTTACTTTTCCTTAAACAGGATGTACACAGTACGCAGTTTTTAAACCTTGAATTCGAGTGTAGCAGTCAGTAGGTTTCAAAATTATTCGGCAATATAGAAACTTTCTTAAAACCGAAAGGTAGCCTTTCTTTAAGTATAAAATTTAAAGAAGACGTAATTTGTTACCAAACGAGGACAAGAAATTATTTTTTCGCGCATCTTTTCCATAAAATATATTTGAATTTATAAAGGCAGTAAAAATCAAGGATTTTAACGCACACTATTTAAGCAGTTACTTTTTACAGTACATACGTTTTGTTAGTTGTCAGAACGAAGCTCGATAAAAAGCCCGCATACTATCATGACTGAAATAACTTCAGAATGGTCTACATGATAATCGGTATCACAAAATGAGTCAATGCCGACTAGCAAGAGAGTATCAATCTTTCGCATATGTCGGCATATTGCACCTATTCTGGCGCATACTGTATTAGTGCTGAAGTACTGTTAGTTTTGAACTCGAAAGTAGGCTCGTCTAAGGAGTCCAAATCTGTCGAGGAAAGTAAGCCCCACTTTTGGACACTCGTGTACGTTGTTTGGGAGTCGTTTTGCATTTATCACAGCGTAACACCACTTATATTACTGGAGGAGGATTTTTTGGAACATTCGACTATTAAGACTAATCGATCGGAAATTGCTTCACGCACAAAAAGTTATAAACTAACATAATAAAACCGAGAGTCAAACGGTACTGAGTGAAGACTGGGACTGATTTAGAATAATAAAATTAGCGGACAAAACAGCTGGTAACACGAATTATTTTTTAATTCAATCGACGCAGAAGTCACGGCAATGGAAAAGAGCGGTTTAGAGAAAAGACCTTAGGCATCACACGGAAAAGAGAGCAAAAAGCATACAGCTGAAACACAAAGAGATGTCAAAAATGTATGACTACCTCAGTAATACGATCAAGGCCTGTACGCAGACGAGTAAGGAACTGTTCTAACTTAGTATGAGGAGCGCCATTGGTAGCGGATGTGGAGAACACCGAAAAATCATTATTTTTGAAGAAGTCGTAGGAATCCAATTCGGCCATAAGTTGGTCCACAATGGCGTCCGCTGAATCATTATGACTATCACTCACCGCAGTAGGTCTGAGAGGAAAAAAGCAGATAGGTAAGGATGGCCTATGGAAGAGTTTGGTCCGCAGATATGACATACGAAATGCCAACCAGGCGTAAAATGGTCTGACTATTAACAAATCAACTGATAGGCTATATGACAGTGCTATATGCGGATCCGAAATAGTTCATTCTGGAGAAAACCGATTTACAAGAAGAAGTATAAGCATGGTTGCATTCGAACTATGATGAACAAGGTCCTGGTTATTACCACTAACGTAGTCTTTATCCAAGTGGTAAAGGCAGAAGGATCAAGTAAGGGAGACACCATTTAATGTATAGGAGTTGAATAGAAATGAAAGAGACTCAAGGACATATAAAAAGAAGATAATCATAAGTGAGCGCCATAAAAAAGAAAGAAGCATTACAGTCCAAATAAACCAGTCTTGCTTACCCTGCGCTGCTGTCCTCCATCTCGGTTTGAACGCACAAATCTTAAACGGAGCATAAAAGAAAAGGGAGAAAGACAATGTATTCCCATACAGTAATAATTTCAGGCATGTTGCCTACAAAAGTGTAGTCGCAGTGGCAAAATAAAAACCTCAGGTCATGATCTTACCAACTTTTTTGCGTTCATCGGTAGTTAACTCCTTAGCCTGATGAAAGTGCTGGCGAATCCGACCTTGTGCGGCGTTGGCCTCCTGAAGAGAAACAATGAAATGAGAATGCTTCGAAGCCCTGCTGAAATTAGAAATTCATTATCATTCCGGAGGTTAAATACACTATATAGTGAATATATGTTTTTCGCCGATCTAGTAGAGGACAAATAAAGTTCCGCTTTGCCAAGGAACTCACAACATGAACCCGCCAGACCGTCACATAGTGACTATGATGGTGTGATGAAATGGATCCGACAAAGCAAAGGGAGAGCGGAATGGCCAGTTCCGACTTGTTAGCCATCATCAGCCAATCATACCCTATCTCAAGGGTTGGAGATGGGGTATGACTGGCTGATGACGGCTAACAAGCCAGAAATGGCCATTTCGGTCTCTGTTCGCTTTGCCGGATCCATTTGATACTATATAGAGTTCTAAAACAGCAGTTGCCCACATAGAAAAATTAACTAGGGACAAAAGTATGCTCAAAAAAGAAAACTTTGAAAGCGAAGAAATTTGCATTCAAGGGCAGATACTTAAATGTAGATAAATAAAAAAATAAGTATTGGTTGGAAGAACGATATAAGATAAAAAGGCCGCGCTCCATTACCGCGGTATCATCCTTTGATATCTGCCGAATCATTAAAAGGGGTACATAATGCGAGGAAAATTAGGACGCACTATAGGAACGTGACTAATAGTCAGCATGATGTTTTATTTGGTTTTGAATACAACCATTTCATATTCCAGGAATCCGATTTAGAAGCTGGAGTTCTGATTCTATGGAATAAATGGATTGAGGAACGAAGAAAAGCAGTGCACATGAAAAAAAATCCGAAGTGGACACCAGGGAGGCTTGGAGGAAATTAGTTTCAGTAACTCTTTAGTCATCAAACCAAAAAAGCTAGATATATAGTAAAACATACTTGCTGATGGTGGCTACCTTTTCATGTCAATGCAGAAGTGCGCGGGTTTTCAGAGTAAGTAGAGATAGGTGGATATTGTGTTCATCATCCCCGGAAGAGGAAGAAGAAGGGGGGGTAGGGTAGGGACTGCGACCAGATTATATATATTATTCCATCGATAGGAACGAGCATGTTTTCGAAACGTCAGCATGAGTACAATCTGGTCCCAGCTTTTGCCTCCTCTTC